TGAGTGCCTCCATGCCGCCTCACTTTCTTGAAAGATTTCAAATTTTATTCCATCAATTCCTGGTGCCTTGTTCTTTGCCAATTCCTTCAATGCATCTTGGACTTTCTCCTTCAGTATCATTGGCTCTTGATCATATGCTACCTTTTGAAATGGTTGAACATTAACCATTTTCTTTTGGTATAATGACTGTATTCCTTCCATCTTTTCTTGATGCTTTCTGCATCATTCAATAATTTGCCCAGAGAATCGTTCAGTAATGGAAGTCGAGGTTTGAATTTTTTCTTCAGTTCCCCCAGCTTGAGAAATGCTGAGTATGTTCTTCCTTTTTGGTGTCCTGATTCCAGATCTTTGCACATTTTTGTTGTAATACTTGACTGTATCTTCTTAAGCTGACCTTTGAACTTTTCTGTTCAGCTGTTGGACCTCCTCATTTCTTCCATTTGCTTTAGCATCTTTATGCTGGAGAGCAAGTTTCAGTGTCTCTTCTGACATTCATTTTGACCTTTTCCTTCTTTCTTGTCATCTCAGTGACTTTTTGCTCTCTTCATGTATGATGATCTTGATGTCATCACACAATTCTTCTGGTCTTTAGTGTTTAGTGTGTTGAATGTGTTCTTCAGATGATCTCTAAATTCAGGTGGGATATATTCAAGCTCATATTATGGCTCTCATGGACTTCTTTTCATTTTCTTCTGCTTCAGTTTGAATTTGCATATGAGTAATTGATGATCTGTTCCACAGTCTGCCCCTGGCCTTGTTTTGACTGATGATATTGAGCTTTTCCATCGTCTCTTTACACAGATGTAGTTGATTTGATTTCTATGTATTCCATCTGGTGAGGTCCATGTGTATAGTCATCTGTTATGGTGTCTAAAGAAGCTATTTGAATTGAACAAATCATTGATTTTACAGAATTCTATCATGCATTCTCCAGAACCATTTCTTTCACACGGCTATATTTTCCAACTACTGATTCTTCCTCTTTGCTCCCAGCCTTTGCATTCCAATCACCTGTAATGATCAATACAGCTTGATTTCATGCTTGATCAATTTCAGATTGAAGAAGTTGGTAGTATTCTTCTATTTCATCTCCACGGGCTTTAGTGGTTGGTGCATAAATTTGAATAATAGTGTTATTAACTGGGGTTCCCTGTAGGTAAATGGATATTACCCTATCACAGACAGCGTTGTACCTCATGATTGATCTGGATATGTTCTTTTTGACAATGAGTGTAATGCCATTCCTCTTCAGTCTGTCATTTCCAGCATAGTAAGCCATGTGTTTGTCAGATTCAAAATGGCCAATACCAGTCCATTTCAGCTCACTAATGCCTAAGATATCGATGTTTATGTGTTGCATTTTACTTTTGACAAATTACAATTTTCCGAGATTGATACTTCATACATTCCTTGTTCCGATTTTCAGTGGGTGTTTACAGCTGTTTCTCTTCATGTTGAGTTGTGCCCCATTAGCAAATGAAGGTCCTGTGGGCTTTTCTCTCACAGGCTTTACTCCATTCGCATCATCACTGTCAACTCTACTTTGAGGAGGCAGCTCTTCCCCAGATGCATTTTGAGTGCCTTCCAACCTAAGGGGCTCATTTTCCAGCGCTATATCTTACAGTGTTTCTCTGCTATTCTAAGGTTTTCAGTGACTAAGGATTCGGAAGTAGTTTGTCACTCCTTCCTTCTAGTCTGTCTTCGTCTGCAAGCTCATCTGAAACCTGTCCTCCATGGGTAACCCTGCTGATATTCAAAATACCTGTGGCATAGCTTTCAGAATCACAGCAACTCACAAGCCACCACAGTATGACAAGCTGACAGATGAGTGGTGGAGTGAGGAGATGAAGTACTAATAAAACACATAATGATGTACAATATGATGTCATTGTTGGTTACCATCAAGTCAGCTTCTACTCGTGGCTACTTTATCCATGAAATGTTGCTGGCTCCTGTGTCATATCTCGTGATGGTATATGTTTGGTTCTATTCTTCTGGTTATTGGGTCAAGCCATCTATTAAAGTGTTTCCGCCATTTTGGTTGGTTCTCTACTTTCCCAACTACAATATCCTTTTCTAGTGATTTGTCTTTTTTAATGACATATTCAGATTAAGCAAGTAGACGTCTCACCATCCTCACTTTTAAGGAACATTCTGGTCTTATTTCTTCTAAAACTGATATGTTCATTTTTTTTATCAGTCTGTGTATATTCAGTATTTTTTGTCAAGCCATAGTTCAAACACATCAGTTCTTCTTTTGTCTTCCTTTTATGCTACCCAATTTTGGAACTTTGCAACATGTATACGAGGCAACTGAAAACACCATGTCTTGGATTAGATGTTTTTCAGATACTGTCAAATGGGATTTAGACCAGGAAAGCTCTGCAAATAGTGTTTGGGCTGGTAAAGTACACTTCCTCTCCTTGACTAGCTACATAATGCTTTGACTAAAACAGGTAAGGCCAAGGCTGGTGTTTAATAATAGGACTAGCTAACACCTGTATAATAGGATATGTTGACTCAGGATTTACCTCATAGGATGATTATGTTCCTGAGAGTATGATATACAAATAAATCTCAACTGCAGTGATTGGACATAAGCATTAAAGTTATTTATGTAAGATGTTATTGTTTAAATAAGATACATAGAGCGCATTTGTCCCCAATACATTGTGGAGATGGCCCCTTATCACGTATGTGTTCCTTCAGCGACTCACCAGTTGGGACATACAAAAGGCAAGTACGTTGCCGTATGGAAATTTGCATCCGTCCCTAGTTACACGCTACACAGCCAGAAGGCTCTGTTTAAGTTTCCAACTGACTGCCACGTACACAGTTAGGAATGAAAAACAAACAGTAAAAATCATGCCTTTTGCACCTTCGCACCTTCGCATGGTCTGAGGGAACAGTACTGCTCACGGAGCCAAGCTCTGGCTGACCCTGGTTCCCAGAAGTTACGGCTCTAGAATGCAGTACCCTGACCTCTCAAGGCACAGCTGCCAGACTTGTGGTTTTTAAATAGATCTTTAAAATGGGGCTGGAGGAAATCAGCAGGAAGCAGATTTGAGAAAGAAAAAAAACCAGTGAGGAGTGAGGGCAAGTCTCTTTTTGCTGTACATGCAAAATAAGATGAGCATCTTGGCATCCAGGCTTTTTCAAGTAGCAGCTGCAAGAAGACGTTCTTAGAGGTCAAGGCCTATGACTGCTCCCCAGCCCCCCAGGAAGCAGATCAGTACACCTAAGCTGAAATAAATTATTGTGAAAGTATTGCAGCCACTCTCTATGTTTTAGAGACGAGCTTCCCAAAACCTAATGTATGCACACTTCACCTGTTAAAAGGTAGATTCAGTAGGTGAGTTGTGTAGGGTGACGCCCACAAATCAGCATTTCCAACGAGTTCCCAATGGCCCTGTTGCTGCTTGGCCAGCACCCCATTTAGAATATCAAGGTGCCGTAGGATCAGTACTGGACTGCGAACCACAAGGTCGGCAGTTCAAATCCACCAGCGGCTCCTCGAAACACTATACAAGGTGGCTGTGAGTCGAAACCGACTTGACAGCGCTGAACAAGTGAGTAAGCAAAGTTCTGAGAACATTTCTGTGCACGCTCTGGAACACCGCTTCCTCTTTCTAGGTGGCTGGTCTTGCTAGTGCCCGAGGGTCAGCTGTCCCTCACCGGTCCTGGGGGAGATGTATTGATCTTGAGCTCCAGATAACAATATCCTCTCTTTCCCGCAGGGGAGGAGCGGCCCCGGGACTCCCCGGCCCCAGCGACGGCCGCGGCAGGTGCGGAGACCCAGGCGGCAGCCGGGGCAGAGGCCGGTGGGAGGACGGGCCACCTCTGCTGGCGATGCTCCCGCGCGCAGCTCAAGAAGGCCTTCTGGGGCCTGGCCGTGGTGCTGTACGTGTGCTCCTCCTGGGCCGGCTCCACGCAGCTCGCCAAGTTCACCTTCAAGACGTTCGACGCGCCCTTCACCCTCACGTGGTTTGCCACCAACTGGAACTTTCTGGTTTTCCCACTGTACTACGTGGGGCACGTCTGCAAGTCAGCGGAGAAGCAGTCTATGAAGCAGAGATACAGGTAGGAGGCTCTGCTGCCTTTGGTGGCAGGATTCTGGGAAATGCTTGGACACTTGGACAGGCTAGTGAATGCCCCTCCTGCCCTGGGAGCTGGGCTGGGGATCAGGATTCTCTTCTTTCCGGGGTTTAAACATCTTGTTTCTTCGACTCCTGGCCTACTGCCCTTGGAGTTCCATAACATGAAAACTGGTATCTTCTCTGAAAGACCTAGGGCAGTTACTGCTCACCAGACTTGAGAGGTGTCACCAGACTGAGTGAGAACTGGGTGCTCCTGACGCCCAATGATTTCGCTCTTTTCTATAGCTTAGTTTCCGTCATGAAGATGCTCCCCCCAATCCAAAACGGTGCTTTCTGTATGTAATTGCATGGATCCAATATCTGACATTACTGGTAACAAACACAAAGCAGTGTCTGGAACTTGGTTGAATGTACTGTGTTTTTTACACTGAGTCCACTGAAATGGTATTCCTTTAAGACCAGGTCCAAAGCTCCACCCTCAGTGTGGAGCAGAGATCTCCCGCCTTCCTGGAGAGTCAAATTATTGGTGTTCAGTCCAGTGTTCCTACATGCCCATCGCTGCGTCTCAGCGTGTCCACAGCGAAGGCCTAATATGGACTGTGTCAAAGGCTTGGGTCAGAAAAGCCCAGGATACATGCCTGGAAACTTACCTTTTGTCAGTCGGTCCCAAAGGTGGGAGAATAAAAAATCTTCCACTTTTCACCTCTGCCCTTCCCCACTCCACGTTCATTTTCTATTCCCACCAAACTCATACACATATAAAATTGTCATGTTCATAACTGTATGCTTTAAACTCCAACCTGGCTCTGAAGTTGTACCTTTCATTATTTTATGATAACTAAAATATCGTGGTGCATCTATGTGGGAACAAGGCGTGTTTGGGGACAGACTCCGATTGGAAGTTCTCTTTAGTGACGAACCATTATACCCTTCTATAGTTACAGTTGGAGTCCTGGTGTGGCATTGTAGGGTAAGCACTGAGCTGCTAAATGCAAGGTCAGTGGTTCAAACCCACCAGCTGCTCCTCAGAAACCCTACTTAGGGTCTATATGAGTCAAAACCAACTCAACGATACGGTACCTAACCACCACCACAAACATAGTTAGAGTTGGAGGCATAGATGCAACATATGCTTAACGTGTAGAGAGATTCGGTCTGGCTCCTTTATAAGACTAGGTTGAGAGCCAGGATACTGATCCATGTAAAGGAATATGCTCTGATGGGATTGGATGGAGCCACAGAAGCCAGCCCCTCCTCCCCTTGGTGAGAGGGATTCGGAGCAAATACTAGAGACGAGGCTACAGGGCATGGCGACCCAGTAGTGCCTGGGCATTCTCAGTGTTGACATAGACCACACTTCATGGAAAAGTGGGAGTTCTTGGAGAGGCATTTATTGTGCTTCTTCTGAATAGCAGCCAAAAAAAAAAAAGAGAGAGAGAATGAACTCACGATCGTCCCATAGACAGGCGAGAAAAATGTACTGCTTCTAGTCCAATAGGAAAGCAAATATTCAGCAAATGATGCATTTTTTAACTAACTCTAATAGCCCTAAGTATATTTGATTTGTCACTCAGAGTTCGCCTTTATCCTTTCTAGAGTGTTCCTCTGCTGCTTCTAACCAAGTGCTAAAAGCCAATGAAAGGGCTCCTTTCTTGATAAAGACTTACTGGGAAGGAAGCTGGGATGTTCTAGCCCTGTTGTCTTGGCCCATGCAGGCTAAGAGAGGCCCTCCCGTGAATATGGGGACCAGCTGTTTCTGCGTCCACCCATGCAGGAGAGGCCCAGCACCGTTTCAGTTTTGTTCTGAAAACAGCATTTACAGGAACAGAGCACACTCGTGCTTAAAAAGTCAAGGTGGGAAAACAGCAAACATCACTGAGAAGGAATAGTTATACAAGGTTGTTACTAAGTGCTGTCCCTGGGGAGTGGCTGGTAAGTTCGAACCACTGACCATCTGGTTCAAACCGACCTTACAGTCCAGTGCTTATCCAACAGCACTACACCAAGATGCAGTTAGACATTGTTGTTATTGTTGTTAAGTGCTGTCGAGTCGATTCCGACCCAGAGCGACCCTGTATAGGGTTTCCAAGGAGCAGCTGGTGAGCTTGAAACACCGACCTTGTAGTTCAAACGATCTTGCAGTCTGACACGTTAGCCCACAGCGCCACACCAGGACTCCTCGTTACACATAGAAAGACATAAACACCTTGATTTCAGCCTGTTGTCTTTTTGTAAAAAGCATTTGGAATGAGTCAAGGGAAAAATTAGCGGGGTAATAGAAATAATCCTAGCTTAGTTATTGAAGTTGTGGACTCCTAGTGTGGTGCTGTAGGATCAGCACTGGACTATGAACCACAAGGCCAGGAGTTCAAACCCACCAGCTGCTCTTCAGAAACCCTACACAAGGTCACTATGGGTCAGAACTGACTCGATGGCCCTTAAAAAAAACCAATAACAGTTATTGAAGTCAGTTAAAATCTTGCCCAATTTCTACCATAAAGTTTCATTCCACCTCTTAAAGGTGGCATAGTGGTTACATGTTGGACTGTTAACCGCATGTTCAACAGTTCAAATCCACCAGCCACTCTGGGGGAGAAAAATTAGGCTTCCTGCTCCCATAAAGATTTATAGCCTTGGAACTCCTATATAGGGGTTGTTCTGAGTCAGAACTGACTCAACGGCACATGACCACCACCAGTCTTTCTGATTGTAAATCGAATTCACACTGAACGAAGCTCAGCAGAGTTGCTCATCATTTTCCAGCCAACTCTGAATATGTACTCTCAGCTGTGCATACCATTGGAGGGGTTAAAAGATTCTCAATGGAAAAGGAAAAATAATACAACAGGTCTTCCTTAGAAAACTATGACCTTATTACCTCTCAGATTGGGAGTTCTTTAAACAGATGTTAGGATTCCTAGAAATAAGTGAAAATCACATCTTCATGCTTTTGTCAAAATACTGGAGAAAACCTAGAGTCAGCTGAGGAGCTGGGTCCCTTGGCTCAAAGGGTTTTAGCAGGAAATGGGGGAGGAAAGGAGAAAAGTAGAGAGCTTTTTCACTGAGAGGAAGGCTGGGGAGACAAGATTATCAGAAGCAGCCAGATGAAAGATCCTTTTCCCCAAACCCTCTCTACCTGGAAAAGCCAGAAAAGTAAGTCAGAACAGAGAAGTAAGGGCACATTGCCTAGAACTGACCTCCTCAAACTGTCACATCCTTCAGGTCACCTGCGGCTGTGCTTCCATAGGTGTGGGGGTCTGAGAGTCCATGTTTCTAACACACTCCCTGAGGATGCAAGAGATACCAGCCCAGGGGCCACTCTTGGAGTGTAAAGGCCCTGGAGTTGTTGAGTCTCCACTACAGATTTTCTCCAGTGTTGCCAACTTGTCCAGAGATAAGGGACTTGCCAGACAATGAAGAATCAATGAATGACTTTGGACCCCGAGGACTGTTCGCTTCTGACCCTCTGCCTCGTGCTAGGGAAGTCAGCTGGCAAAGTCATTTCAGTGGTCAGAGCACCAGAGTCCCCTCTGTATTAGGGTGATGGCATGGCCTAGCACTAAAGACTGGTGTATGACTGAATGAGTCACCCTATGTGAAGGCACCCTAAGAACTGAAGTTGGTCTCCTTCATGACCGAACTTGTAGAGGGCATCTTTTAGAGGGCATTCCATCTCCACTGGTGTTGGGCAAATCTTACAGTTTCAAGAAATCTTCTTGTGGCCCTTTTGGCTACACAGGGCAGCTACTGACCAGGCACCTTGTGGTCATGTCCCGTTGTTAGGGATTAGTGTATGAATGTGAAAACGTCCCAGTCCACTGCCCAGGAGTTTTAGGCTCATGCATCCTTCCCATACTAGGGTCATCAGCCCCCTCCATGTCCCTCAGTCTCCCTCTGACATTGACCAGAGACGCTATGAGAAAGCAGAAGTGCGCAGGACTTGGGACTGACTCTGGTGGGAGTAAAATGTTTACTGCTCCAGAGTCTCCCAGACAGCTGTAGGTGCAGGAAAGAAAGGGTGTCAGAAGGCAGATCTGAGCACCCTTGGTCTGCCCTATGGCCCTGGGGCAGGCAGACAGCTCTTCAGGCCCAAGAGACCACCAGCAGCCTACCTGCCACGCTGGCAGTGATGATCTTGTCAGAAGACAAGGCCTGCCGGGGATTTTCGCAGCTGTGGCCTCCTGCTGTCACACTGCTACCAAAGCTACTGAACTAAACAGTGGTGACAGATAGTCCCCTTTGCCTTTTGTAGCTTTGCGCTTCTGTGAGGTAGCCAATTTATTCTGCTTCCGAAACTCCAAGTAATGATCTGAACCGAGAGAGGAGAAAGGGCGATTTTGATGCCTTCAATCTGAAAAGGACCTGGCTTGTGTGTGTGACTTCCCAGACTTCCCTAGGGACTTGATTGCATTTGTAGTAACTGTAACATCCGTGCAACCCTCAGTATCTAAGGAGCAGAGGAAAGTAAAAGCAATATGGAAGCTTGTCTATCCTAAACTTATTCATTGAACATTTACTTTGGGCTAGGCCCTAGAGATCAATAAGACATGGTCTCTGTCCTCTCTCCTAGTAAAGGACTTAGAGAGTTAGATGGCAAAACGTGGTGGTGTTTGCAGGGGTGGGGGACAGGTTTCCTTAGAGGCAGTGACTGAGGAAGAGTTTCTTTAAAGACGATTTGATAGTCTTCCAAGTAATGGAAGTTGAAATCAAGAACTTTCTGGCCAACAAAGTAATGCAGGAAAGACCCAGAGGTGAGAAGAGCGCAGACAAGCTCTAGACTCATCGACCTGGTTGAAGCTGAGGAGGCAAAGGGGGTGAGGGAAGAGAGGAGACGAGGCAGTTAGGCAAGGACCACCATGCAGAAGGCTTGAATCCTAAGGTGAATGTTGGTGGAAATTATCAAAGGGCCTGGGCAAAGCATAGACATGGTCAGATTTCATCTTAAGAGATGTCAGTACTGCAGCTCTGGGAGAACGGAATGAA